TGAGGTTCTAGGGAACTTCCAAAGGTTGGTGTGAGCATTAAATAAGATAACCTTTCCACACCTAACCCAGTACTTGCACACAGCAGGTACATCACCGATGTCCCTTTTCTGTCCCTCCCCATCTCCCCACTCTCACAGGCCAGAGGGACTTGGAAGGAAGTTGAGACCTGCCCTTGGGCCACCTGGCCTGGCAGGAGCTGCACCTCTCGGCCCCCATGTCACTGGCAGTGAATGGCCCAGCCCACCAGCAGCCTCTGGCCTTGGGGGAACCCCAGGAGCCTCAGAGGAGGCTGTAGTTTCCAGGACCCACCCACGGCTATTTCTGGGACAGGGCCCCAAATGCCCACACTGCCAGGTGTGCCACCCAGGCCGCTGTGTGACCCCAGGGCCCAGATCTTCTGGCTTCATTGGTCTCTGCCACTCAACCCTGGCCATCCCCTGAGGCCCATGGATGATGATGGTGCTGTCACCCATTAAAATAAGGCCAGCATGAAGCAGGAGCAGCAGGAGAGAAATTCTCGGGTGAATTATGGTCAGTATTGGGCACTTTAGCCTGATCATGTGTGATTGAGGGCCTTGTGTGTCTGTATTTTTAATACTTCTTTGCGTGTGTGAGAGTATTTTGGATTAAAATTTTTACTGAGCCCGTTGTAGATTTATTTACAGTTGTAAGAACTAACACAGAGGGATCCCATGTACCTTTACTCAGTTTCCCCAATGGTAGCTTCTTATAAAACTACTGTGCAATGTCACAACTGGGATGCAGTGATGCAATCCACCAATCTTCTTCAGATTTCCCCAGTTTTACCTGCACTCATCTGTGTGTGTGTGTGTGTGTGTGTGTGTGTGTGTTTAGTGCTATTCAATTTTATAATATATGTTGGCACATGTATCTACCAGCACAGTCGAGGTGCAGAACAGCCCTGCCTCTCTAATCTGGTCTCTAGTCCTAAAACTCTGTCATTTCCAAATGTTATATAAATAGAATCATATAGTGTGTGACTTTGGAGATTGGCTTTTTTTTTTTCATCCAGCATAAATCTCATAATTCATCCAGGTTGTTGTGTGTGCCCATAGTTTGTTTCTTTTCCTTGTTTAGAATCCCATAGTAGGGATATACCAGAGTTTGTTTAATCATTCACCCATTGAAGGACATCTGGGATGTTTCCAGTTTGAGGCTATTAAAAATAAAGCCGGTATGAGCATCTGTGTACAGTTTTGTTTGAACATAAATTTTCATTTATCTAGGATGAATGCCCAAGAGTGCAATTGCTGGGTTGCATGGCAGTTGCATGTTTAGTTTTATAAGAAGCTGCCAGACTGTTCTCCAGAGCAGCTGAAGCATTTTCCTTTTCCACCAGCAGTGTAGGAGTTTCCCCACATGCTCCCCAGCATTTGGTGTTGTCACTATTTTTTATTTTAGCAGTTTGAGAGTGGCGACTCTCAGGTGTCGGGCTCTGTGATGGGGAGGAGCAGTTTACCTGCGGGCCAGGGCCAGCTCTCACAGAGCTGGCATGCTGGGGGGAGGAGGGGGAAGATGTATCAGAAAACAAAATAATAGGATCGGTTGGAAAGGGATGGGTGCTGTGAGGAGGTGCTGGGAAGTGCCGAGATGAAGATGCACAGGGAGGGCGGCCCTGGGGCCTGACACCCAAGGAGCCTTGAGTGTCGAGGGGCAGCAGTGCTGGGCGCAGGGGCAGCGAGGAGCAGCAGGGGCCAGGGCAGCCATGTGGGAGCAAGCGAGGCCGGTGTGAGGGGCAGACAGCCTGGGCTGGCAGATGAGACGAGGCACAGGGGCTCCCAGCAGGGGCGGAAGGGCATTTGGTTCCTGTTCCAGGCTCATCAGGACCCCGCCCTCCTGGCCCACTCAACTCCGGCCAAGAGGCACTGCGGAGTGAGGGCCAAGGGGGCCGCCTCTCAGGGCTCCCTCCCTTCCTGTCCAAGAGCCTCCGAGTCAGGAGAAGGGTGCCCGGAGTGGCTATTTAACATTCCCTGACAGCTCAGTCAGACCCTCTTCCAGACAGACAAGTGTCAAATATTCATGAGGATGACCCAGCGGTCACTCTTCCCTCCCCCACAGTGTGATGGACCCAGTCCACAGCCCTCAGCTCTGGGGGTGGCTGTGCCACCCTGCCCGAGCTCGGCTGCCGGGCCCCCTCCCCTACCCCCAGTAGGCCCCCCCAAACCCCAGACAGGCTCCTGGCCCATCAGCCAGATGAGAGACCTGGCCCAGGGTTCCCACCACCACCCCACTCTGACTTTCCACCAGGGAAAAGACACGTTGGGGCTCCTTAGCCCGGGAGGGCATCACGACCTTTCTAAATAGGTGCTCTTGGGAGCCTGCCCATGCAGCTGGGGGCTTGGGAAACACACTCCTAACTTCTGAACTCTCTCCAGGGACCAGGCACGAGGAACGGCCTCAGAGGCGAAGACTGTGGCCAAGACCACCTGAGATGAGGCATCAGAATGCCACATGTAGAGTGTGGTCCTGGCAGCCCCAAGACTTCTCAGAGCCTTAGTTTCCTCATCTGTAAAATGGGGGTGGTGTTGGCAGCCTCATGGGGTTGTCATGGCAATGCCATGACTTAGGGCTTAAATAGACATGCAGCATGGGGGCTCTCAGCCTGCACCAGGAGGACAGGGCCACTGTTAGACGGAACCCAGGGACACCCATGGGGTCTTTCCCACAGCAGCCTAGGCCCAGGGCTGTGAGACAGAATCCCCAGGACTAACTGGCACTGTCCTGAGGTGGGTGGTGATGGGGGGCTCCCAATCATAGTGGGGCCCACCTCAGCTTCTCCCGGTGTTCTCTGCTCGCCCCACATGCAGAGCTGTCAGCAGAGAATTCGTGAAATAATGAAGCACCCGCAGCAGCTGCCCATCTCTCCCCCACTCCCCTCCTTGACTGAAATAAAGACTTCATTCATTGAGGCCATTTCTCTCCCGAATAAGATTTTTAATAATAGAAAAAGATCCTTTGTTACCCAGCCTGGGCAGGACATATGTGTGTGTGAGTGTGCATGTATGTGTATGCGTATGTGCACACGTGTGCGCATGAGCATGTGTGCATAATGTGTGCATGTAGGGGAACTCTATCGGCATCCCAGGCCTCCCTGCCCACCCCCCGCTGTCCCCCTCTTTCTGCCCCATTGGGACGGCCAGTGTCCCTGCTTGCTACAGCTCTGGCACCACTGACCCCCTCACTGCCAGGTGAGCCATGGAGAAGGGGAGGCTGTGGGGGTTGTTGCCAAGGGTATGGGGGGCAGGTAGGGGTGACATCTGCCATCCAGGGGATTGGCAGCTGGGACTCGGCTAGGGAAGGCCTGAAAGCCAGCAGAAGGGGTTTGGACATCACCCTGCCTAGGCAGCCACTTCACCAAAAGCTGCCCAGGAGACCCACTGCCCTGCCTAGCTGTGGACAGGCCCCCTGGGGCCATGAGCCAGTGAAGCCCCCAGAGGCATCTCCCTCTAACTGGAGCCTGCAGGTTGTAGGAGACCAGTGCGGGTCCCCAGCCCTGAGACCTGGGATAGGGGCCAGTGTTTTCAGCAGCAGCAAATGTGCCCTCACTGGCCTCTGTCACGGCTGATGTGGCTGAGGTCTGGCTGCCTGGCCCTGCCATTTGATCTGGTCTATCTTCCAGGCCTGGCTCCCTGTCCTTTGTGGGAGGCTGTGGCTGGCCTGGGCCCCTGCTGCCAAATCTTCTGGTTAGAATCAGCCTGGGTCGGTCTCCGGCCCTTGCACCTGAGAGCCAGGCTAGTACAGGGGCTGCCTTGGGGTCCACGTCTGCAGAATCCACCAATGACACTTCTGTCTGTGTCACTTTGAACAACCAAATACTTTTCAGGACTGTGCAAAGGTAGCACACATGGGACTCCATGACCCTGGAAGGACATTGCTACTCCACCACCCCAGTAGCCCCTTTGCCAGCCAAACAACCCAACCTCTCAGAGCCGGGGTCCATGCCAGGTGCAGGCCACACGTCACAGACAGAATGAGCGTGAGGGCCACCGGTGGGCCATGAGCCAATTGCTAAGCCTCACCTGTGCTCCCGCTGCCCCAAGGCAGCAGCCAGACCTGTCAGATGCCCAAGGGATCCACCCTTCCCTGAGTTTCACTGGCCACTCTGCTGCCAGCATGAGGGCTGAGGGAGGTGGGCAGTTTGGGAGCCAGGATTGAGGGGCTCAAAATATGTAGTAAGAAAACATATCTTGCTGCTCTGGGGGCAAGTTCACATCTCACTGTCTTTTTTCTTTTTCTTTCTTTTTTCTGAGATAAGTTTTTACTCTGCTGGCCAGGCTGTAGTGCAGTGATGTGATCATAGCTCTCACTGCAGCCTCCAATTCCTGGGCTCAAGCGAGCCTCCTGCCTCAGCCTCCCAAAGTGCTGGGATTACAGGCATGAACCATCATCTCTCAATAATCCACCATGGCTCCCTCCAGGACAACCCCAGTCAGTAGCTTGAGCTGTTTCTTCAGTTCATTGCACAGCCTAGGTGCTGGGTCCCCTCAATGTGCCACCCCTAGAGGGGTCCCCCAGTGTTTCATTCATTCTCAGCCTGCCTCAAGGTGAAACCCGAGGCAGCAAAGGGCCCTGGAGGAGATTGAGGGAGCCAGCTTCACTGTGTGACCCTGTGCAGACCTGCTCCCCTCTCTGGGCCTCAGTCAAGTGAGGGATCTGGACAGTGGTCTCTAAGGGACCAGCCAGCCAGGGCGGGGGTTCGGCGAGCAAGTCTGGGCTCACTGCTGACACCCCCTCTCTGGAGTCTTCACAGGGGCCCATCATGGGCCAAGGGCAGGGCTCAGAGTGGAGAGCCATAGAGGCCTGGCATGGATGGCCAGTGCAGGGCAATGGGCGGGTGCTGGGGGAATGGGCTCCTGGCCTGGCAAGCCCCTGGGTTGGGTAAAGGCTGGCCTCCCCCAGATAGCAGGGCGGCCTGGGGATGATAGAAGTCCCCTCCGTGAGCAAGGTCTCAGGGCTGCTCTGCCTGTTCCTGCTGCAGGAAGGGATGAAGGCATCGGACGGCAGCCTCCTGGGGGACCCTGGGCACACACCGCTTAGCAAGAAGGAGGACATCAAATGGCAGAGGCCACGGCTCACCCGCCAGGCCCTGATGAGATGCTGCCTGGTCAAGTGGATCCTGTCCAGCACAGCCCCGCAGGGCTCAGGTAGGGCTGGGGTGCGCTGGGGTGAGGGTGGGGGTGAGGGTGGGGGTGAGGGTGGGGAATCTGTTCTGAGCTCTGCCCTTTCTGAGGGCTCGGAGGCCACCCTGGCACCCCAGCCTGGGCCACATCGCCTGTGCCTCTGTTGGGAGGTGTTTCCATTCATTTATATCCTTCCCCTTTCGCAGAGTGCCTGCTCCACGCAGGGCACTGGCTCCAGGCAGGACCTGTAGAGGGCAGCGACAGGGTTGGGACTATACTGGGGCTTTCCAGCTGGGTGGCTGGGAGGACAGAGCCAGGCTGCAGAGTCTGACAGAGCAGGCTCCACCCCGGCTGCAACTCACCTGCTGGGTAACCTTGGGCATCTCACTCACCGTCTATAAGAAGGCAACCCACACCCACCCACAGGGCACTTTGAAGATGGGAGATAAGGAGTCTCTGCCCCCAACCCCTCCTGGCGGTTGCCCCGGGCACCCCAGGGCTGGTGCTGGATCTTCCCACCAGGCTGCATCTGGGGTGTTTGTGGGGGAACCAGCAGAAATGGCCACCCTGTGCTTGCTGTTGGTGATGTCTGGCGTTAGCTGAGTACAACAGAGCAGGAGAGACCGAGGTAGCCTCATGTAGCACTCATGACCTTGTACACACTTGTGCACACATCTCACACTCACACCTGTGCATCCACCACACACAAACTTGCACACGCACCCACCATGCACATGCAGTATGCACATCTGTGTACACATGCCACACATGCTTGCACACACCATGCACACTTATGTGCTCACAGGAACACTCACCACATGCAGGCACACACATGCACAGGGTCGCACACGCATGGGATCACACATAGGGCGTTTATGAGAGCCTTCCTCCTTGGCTGCAGGGAGCTGGGTCTTGCTTGTTGTCTGGGACACTCTCTAGCTGTGTTATTTCCAAGGAGCCTCAGTCCCCTCACCTGGAGAAGGGGCACAATCAGGGTGCCAGCCTCCCAGGCTGGATGGGTGTCGTGCACGGAGGGGATGGCCTGAGGGGCCCAGGGCAGACAGTAGACACAGTGGCTGGTGGCCGCCCCCAGCTGTCCATGCATGTGCTAGAGGGGACAGGGCTGCTACACACCAGGCTGGATCCTTCCCCAGCAAACCCACTCCAGGGCGTTCCCAGTACAACTCCTGCATCCTCCCTTCCACCTCTGTCACCTCCACTTCCCCATGGAAACCATCCGTGGAGCTCGGTCACCCTTGGCTGGCATTTGTCCTTGACCCTTTCCCACAGAAGCACCAGCACTTGTGAATACCTGTGTGAGGTCCACGTGCACCTCCAACTTCTCAGGGGGTGTTAGGTTTTTCAGGTGGTAGAAACATGATGAGGTCACTAAAAGCTCATGCAAATAGTTCAGCTGGGAAGGAGGCATCTTCACATTGCTGTTTGTTCAGCATTGGGATAAAAAAATGTCCCTTCTCTATCAGGGTGGGAACCGAGAGCAGAGCTGAGCCGTGGGGCTCTGGTGTGGCTGCCACAGGTGCCCAAGGGACTCAGGTCCACTCTGACTGGCACAGCTTCACGTTGCCCAAGGGTCAGATTCCTTCCTGGCTCCAGTCCTCCAGGGTTTTCTTGGTGGCAGCAAGTATTGGAGGTGTTGCTGCAGCAGAACCCTCCTTTTCGTCCCCTAGATCCCGCAGCTGCTTGGCTGTACCTCCCCGCACTGCCACGTCTCTCTGGCAGGCAGAGGTGGCTTGGGATGGGGCTGGGGATGCTGTACGCCCCTTGCCAAGGTGACAGCAGTAGCCATGCTGAGTGGCAGTGACAGGGAGAAAAGCCAGCCAGGAAGCAGGCATGGCATGTTCAAGGTCACAAGGAGACAGGCCGAGGGGACCACACCCCCGGGCCCCACCCCAGCTCAGGGCCTTTTTGCATTTGGCTGCTACACCCAACTGTCAGGACACGTTTGCTGAACGACCTGTCAAAGGCACACAGCAGAAGGGGCCAGGGCAGGGCCGGGGCACCGTCGAGGGGAGCGCTCCCCCAGGTGGACGTGTTTGCCAGCCCCCGTGCTGGGCGCTGAGAGCAAGTGTGAAGGACAGAACTGAGGCCCTATTGGATCATGTGAGGTAGGCAGAGCGGCTCTCATCGCCCTGTTTGACCGAGGAGTCCGCTGAAGCACAGGGAGGTCATGCGACTCAGCCGGTGGCACAAGGGCTGGGGTGGTGTGGGGGAGGGCTCGGACCTGGAGCTCCCTCCACAAGCTCCGGGCAGGGCACCCACCCTGATGTGTGTCTTCCGTGGGAGCTGCGGGAGGAGCAGCGGGGACCTCACAGACTGAGGAGCCAGACGCTGGCAGGCCCTTCGTCCTCCTTGGGCGCAGCTCCTGGGCCTCCTCTCCTCAGTCCAAACACGTCCCGTGCGTGTCCCTCTAGGAAGATCCGCCTGGTGTGGCCACACTGAGGGCTTTGTGCGCGTGTGAAATGCTACCCTGTGCACCGATGCGTTGCCTCGGCTCCTTGGGCGCCGGCGAGGCTCCAGGCACAGAGAACAATGGGCGCCATTCAGCGCAGTCCCCTTGCGTGCCCCGCAAGGCCCAGCGCAGAGTCCTGAGTCCTCGGGAACCCGTGGGAGTCAGCCGGCCCAGACACTGTGCCCTTGTCCCTGGGGTTTTTCCATTCAGTAGGAGTGAGGCCAGAGAGACGGCTGGGAACGGAAGTCACAGCCCAGCGTGTTGTCCCTGAGGCTTGGGCAACATGGAACCTCAGCAAGGGGTGGGGGTGTTCAGGGGTCCAGGACCAGCTGTGGCTGTGCCCTGGGTGCCCACTCCTGGGCTGTGAAGGCCCAAGAGGGAGTCAGGAGGTGGGTGGCTGTGGTGGCCCCTAAAATGGGTGGGCCCAGGAGGTGGGGAGTGCAGGGCAAGTGGCATGGTCACTCCCCACCCAGGAGAAACACTCCATCCTCAGTCTAGAGTCTCAGGGGACCCCTCCTCATGAACCCAGAACTGAGACTCTGACCTGCCCAGCATGTCTCCCCCAGCATCTGAAGTCCCTCCCGGCAGGACACCTCTCCAGGGGTGTGGCTGATGCCACAACACGACAGGCCTGCTTCTCAAGTCTGGCTCCCTACAGGGGTCGTGGGACTTGGGTTTCTTCAACTGTCGGACTGGAATAATATTAATAATAGCACCCACAAAATGGCCTGGCGTCTTGGCTGCAGACAACTCAATCCAGGCTGGCTGGGTTAAGCAGAGAGACATCTGCTCCAAGCCTAGGGAAGTCCAGAGGACGAGGCCTGGACGAGACAAAGCCAGGGTCCTACCTGCCACCATGGGAAATGCCTCACATCCTGGGCTATTCCTGCAGGAGCACTGGAGCAATAGCCACATGCTTCTGTGTGACACAGCACAGCCATTCCTCAGGCAAAAGGACATACTGCCACCCCTCCCCCAAAGAGGAGACCCACATCCTCTGGCCACCACAGCCATCTCCGGGAGATGCTCACTCCTCCCTGGCATCCATCACAACCCATGTGAAATCATAAAGTCACCACACCAGGGCTCCTGACAGGAAGCCCTAGCAGAAAGGTACGGGGACAAAAAGCTGAATTAACTTTGTCTCTAATATTTTGGGTCATTAAATATGAAATGTCCAATTTTGAATCAAAAGCTTAGTTCATTGTATCTCATACAAGAAGCAGTACAATTAATCAAAGTATGTGCCTTTGACACAGTTTTGCCATCATAATGGCAGCTTGTTTAAGCCAGCAGCAAAGAAGCCTGGAGAGCGAGTGGCAGTGAAATCGCCAAAAGCATTTTCCACAGCTTGTTGAGAACTGAATATTTTTCCTTGCAAGAAGTGGTCCAAAGCCTGGAAGAAGTGGTAGTCAGTTGGTACAAGGTCTGGTGATTACGGTGGATGACAAGAAAGTTTCCAAGTCCAGCCTCTATAGGTTGAGCAGTGTTGTTTTTGCAACATGTGGTTGAGTGTTGTCTTGCAAGAGGATTGGCCTGTCTCTGTTGACCAATCTCGGCTGCTTAATCACAAACATCCTCATCATTTCATCCGATTTGTTGTAGTAGACATCCTCTGTAATCGATTGACCAGGTTTCACGAAGTGGATAATACCAGCACTGGACTACCAAACAGACACCATTAGCTTTTTGTGATGAATATTTGGTTTTGGAGTGTGTTTCAGCATTTCATCTTTATCCAACCAGTGTGCGAAACGCTTGCAATTATCAAAAAGAATCCATTTTTCATCACACGTAATAATACAGTGTAGAAATACTTGGCCTTTATGTCACGACAGCAAAGAAAGGCAAGCTTCGAGATGATTTCTCTTCCAACAATCCCTGAATTCATGCAGTACCCAGGTTGAGGGAGGGTTGCTTTGGTTACCTTTTGTTACCTAACAAAATACTCCAATATGTGGTGTCTTAAAATAACAATGACCTTGTTTGCTCTCAACTCTGTGGGTCGGGAATTTGGGCAGGCCTTACCTGGCTGGTTCTTCTATTCTGCACGGCATCAGTTGTGATAAGTCATTTGCTCTCATTTAGCTGGTGGCTGGGCTGGGTTGAAAGATCCAAGAAGTTTCCACTCACATGTTTGGTGCCTCAGTGCCTGTCTCTGTCCACATGTCTGCTTGGGCTTCCTCACAGCATGGTGGTCTCAGGGTACTCGAACTTCTTACATGATGGCTGGCTTCCAAGAGGGAAGTTAAGGGAGGATTTCCAAGGGCTCTTGAGCTTGGGCTCTGGAACTAGCACAACATCATTTCTACTGCATTCTGTTGGTCAAACAAATCATCAGGGCCAGGCATGGTGGCTCATGCCTGCGATCCCACCATTTTGTGAGGCCAAGGGGGGGAGGATTGCTTGAGGCCAGGAGTTCAAGACCTGGTTGGTTGAGACCCCATCTCTACAAAAAAAAAAAAAAAAAAATAGCTGAGCATGGATGGTGGTGCACACCTGTAGTCCAAGCTACTTGAGAGACTGAGGCAGGAGGATCTCTTGAGTTCAGGAG